GTAGTCAGAGTGATAAACAGATATAAAGACTCTCACCTGATACGGTCAGTGTAACTTTATCACTGGTGTGTGAGTATCGTGATCCTTGGGTCTCGTTTCCAGCACAGCTGTAATGACCCGTGTGAGATTCATTAACAGAACTGATTCGGTATTCCTGTGATTGACTGACATGAATCACTGAATCATCTTTATTCCAGCTGTAGCTCCAGCTGCTGACGTTTGTCTCCTGCATGTCACATGTGAGAGTGACCGTCTATCCTCTGAACACATGTCCATCAGGCTGAACACGCAATGCAGGCTTGGGTCTCTCTGCGCAAAATTTAAGACAGCACATGATACTGTTAATGGATGCTGTTCATTTTTATAATTGTATAGTGATCTCAAAATCAGATTGTGCTGTAAAAACAGCACTTACCTCTTACTGTTAGCATGACTATTTGGCTTTGTGTGGTCTTTCCTCCTACAGTACATGAATATTTTCCTCCATCAGAGACTCTCACATCTCTCAGTGTTTTTGTTTCATCACCAGTTTGTATTCTCGTGAAGTCTTTGAACCAGATAACCGTCTGTCCAGTTAACTGTCCCACATCACAGCTCAGAGTAACTGTGTCTCCAGTGAACACTGAACTCTGGGGTTTTATGGTTACTTTGGGTTGGTCTGTAAATATTTCATGATACAATCTTGAGTTAATAAGTAATCTTTAGTAAGGATGCACAATATTGGATTTTTGCCGATATCCCGATAATTTTCAACTCATTTTGGCCGATAACCGATGCTGATTCCGATATATAATTATTTTTAGCTAGTGGTTAGTTTTTAACAAGAACTTATTTGTTAGAATTAAATAAACAGTAATAAAGTTATTTTATAATGACAGTACATTAAAGGTTTGAAAATAACTATAAATAAACTATATATTAATCACTGCATTTCCCCCCCCAGAAAGATGCAGTAGTAACCTTAACATTTTATTTTAAGGTTTAACATTTGTAAATGGTCTAAAGCGAAAGAGTTGTAAAAATATTTTAGAGCTCATAATTTGTTTAAAAATATAACATATTACACATTAATGAATAAATCAGTATATATAAAATTTATTTAAGTGTCCTGTTTGTGATTTTTTTTTGTTTGCGCCTGTAAGCTATAGCTTTTGACCTTTAAATCAAAACATACTCATGATTTTATGGCATCAATTACTGCTCTGTTTAATCAGAAACACAGTCTAAATATTATTTGTGTATTTTGCTTTCATTTAATTAGAAGTAGGCCAACACCGCCCCCTACAGAATTAAAACTCCTTATCGAGCGGGCATGACCACATGTCTTATCATCAAGACACATCGGCATAATTTTTCATATGGGATGCCGATATTTACATTTAAAGCCATTATCGCATTATCGGGATAATATCCGATAATATCGTGCATTAGTCTTTAGTCATCATCTATTGCTGCTTTTGATTTCTGTTATTAATATGAAAGGTTTCCTTATTTTGCCTCAACCTTCAGCTTACTTTCTTTGTCATTATGAGTAATGTACGGTGAGGCATTGCTGCCACACACATTATGTTTTCCACTCAATTATGTCGTAATAACAAGATGTTTTCTCGTTAAAACAACATCTTTTCTCGTAATAACGAGATGTTTTCTCGTTAAAACAACATCTTTTCTCGTAATAACGAGATGTTTTCTCGTTAAAACAACATCTTTTCTCGTAATAACGAGATGTTTTCTCGTTAAAACAGCACTTACCTCTTACTGTTAGCATGACTATTTGGCTTTGTGTGGTCTTTCCTCCTACAGTACATGAATATTTTCCTCCATCAGAGACTCTCACATCTCTCAGTGTTTTTGTTTCATCACCAGTTTGTATTCTCGTGAAGTCTTTGAACCAGATAACCGTCTGTCCAGTTAACTGTCCCACATCACAGCTCAGAGTAACTGTGTCTCCAGTGAACACTGAACTCTGGGGTTTTATGGTTACTTTGGGTTGGTCTGTAAATATTTCATGATACAATCTTGAGTTAATAAGTAATCTTTAGTAAGGATGCACAATATTGGATTTTTGCCGATATCCCGATAATTTTCAACTCATTTTGGCCGATAACCGATGCTGATTCCGATATATAATTATTTTTAGCTAGTGGTTAGTTTTTAACAAGAACTTATTTGTTAGAATTAAATAAACAGTAATAAAGTTATTTTATAATGACAGTACATTAAAGGTTTGAAAATAACTATAAATAAACTATATATTAATCACTGCATTTCCCCCCCCAGAAAGATGCAGTAGTAACCTTAACATTTTATTTTAAGGTTTAACATTTGTAAATGGTCTAAAGCGAAAGAGTTGTAAAAATATTTTAGAGCTCATAATTTGTTTAAAAATATAACATATTACACATTAATGAATAAATCAGTATATATAAAATTTATTTAAGTGTCCTGTTTGTGATTTTTTTTTGTTTGCGCCTGTAAGCTATAGCTTTTGACCTTTAAATCAAAACATACTCATGATTTTATGGCATCAATTACTGCTCTGTTTAATCAGAAACACAGTCTAAATATTATTTGTGTATTTTGCTTTATTTTTTTGGATAATATGGAAGATTCTTTATTAAGCAATTTAATTTAGCTTCATTTCTTACATAATTTAAGGGGTCATATGATGTTGCTAAAAAGAACATTATTTTGTGCATTTGGTGTAATGCAGTGTGTTTATGCGGTTTAAGGTTAAAAAAACCCCGTATTTTCCACATACTGTACATTATTGTTTCTCCTCTATGCCCTGCCTTTCTGAAACGCGTGGATTTTTACAAAGCTCATCGGTCTGAAAAGCAAGGTGTGCTCTGATTGGCCAGCTATCCAGTGCGTTGTGATTGGCCGAATACCTCAAGCGTGTGATGGAAATGTTACGCCCCTCACCATACTGTGATGCTCTGTCCGGCCGGACCGACGAGACAAAAACATTAAAACCCATTATAAACGAGGCATTTGTTGCATCCAGTGGGGACATAATTATGGATTATAATGACTTCTACTGTCTTTTTACGCGTTGCGTTGCATCTCGCCGCGTAAACATAAAACCATGTCTGCATTTGTGATCGGAGAAATGAAAAACAACAAGCGCTACAAACAAAAAAAGTCTTTGTTGCTATTCAACTCTAAAACAATAAGTATTCTGATTGTCAAAACCATGACATTAAAGGGGTCATATGATGTGATTTCAAGCTCTTGGTGCATAAAAATGATCTGTAAAGTTGCAAAGACTAAAGTCTCAAATCCAAAGAGATATTCTTTAGAAAAGTTAAGAGTCAACCACACCCTCCTAAAACGGCTCGTTCTAACACACCCCCACATGTCTACGTCACTGTGTGGCATAAGGCCACCCAAATGTTCACACAATGTTCACCCGTCTTTCGGATGAGATGTTAAACCGAGGTCCTGACTCTCTGTGGTCATTAAAAATCCCATGGCACTTCTTGTAAAGAGTAGGGGTGTAACCCCGGTGTCCTGGCCAAAAACTGCCCCCCTGGCCTTTGTCAATCATGGCCTCCTAATGATCCCCAACCATTTGATTGGCTCTATGACTTTCTCTCCTCTCCACCTGTAGCTGGTGTGTGGTGAGCGCACTGGCGCTGGTACTGTGGCTGCCGTCGCATCATCCAAGTGGATGCTGCACACTGGTGGTGGTTGATGGGTGTACAAAAATACACAGTCAAGCGCTATATAAATGCATCATTCATTCATTAATTTATTCAATGAAAGAAGGCATAACTTTTATTCTCGCTGTAGTATTGTTGTTGCCGCCACCTCCATGTCCTGAAGACGCTGTGTTTCGTTGTGAAAGCAAAACTACTTTGTTTGGTCTTCCAAAAGAGGACGATATCTGCTTCGTCATGCCTGGAGCTGATCCGTGCTGGTTGCTGAGGAAATACAACAACCGTCCAGCCTGGGGTTGTCACATGTGGTAGCCTCCTTCGTCGAATCCGCCGGCCACGCCATTCTCAAGCCCGCCCGGTCTGAATACTTTCCGTACCCACTGTATTAACAACACTGTTCCAGAACACTTCAACCCAAATTTTCAGATGTGTGCAGCACATTTTACAGAGGACGAGGACGGTTTCCTGATCCTGGGAGAATAGACTACAATGCCGGCTGTTCTGACTCACAGACTGTAAGTAAATTTTTTCATATTTAAAGGATTTGCCACTGATGATTCAAACGTGAGTTTTGAGCAGTGTAGAGTAGCACTTGTTGTTTGTCATTTCTCTGATCACAAATGCAGACATGGTTTTATGTTTACACGGCGCGATGCAACGCAATGCAACCTGTAAAAAGACAGTATAAATCATTATAATCAGTAATTATGTCCCCACTGGATGCAACAAATGCCTCGTTTATAATGGGTTTTAATGCTTTTGTGTCGTCGCTCCGGCCGGGACACGGCATCACAGTATTTCTCCTTAATATGGTCACATCAGTCAATATCAACATGTTTAAATGACTTGTTTAAAAATATAAGGCATATAATATAAATCGTAGCAATAATTTGATAATGTCACGTTTGCTGCCTTCTTGTTGTCTGATTTGTGATGCGGTTTCAATTTGTGAAATAATGATGTAATATTTGAACTCTTATATGGAAAAAATATGAATCAAGCACAAAACCTCCAAAAATCTTAACATGTCCGAGTTATTATTTCCTAAAAAGGCAACAACTGAAAACTAATATTTCTAAACTATTTTTGAAGCTGTTGTTTCATATGCCTATGTCTAATCATGCCATAACAATAAAGCATTATTATATATCTGAAAAAAATAAAAATAAAAAAATTAATGTGCATCACCCTTCCAGCCAATGAATGCTATTCCTTGTTAAATAAATGATCTGTTTTATTCATCAGTTCAAAAAAACAAACAAAAAAAAAATCTGGGTAAAACCCCCTCTGTTATACACATGCGATCAGGTGCTGTGTTTGAGATTTAATCGGGAGTTTTGAATCCGGGAAGCAGCAGTGACCGACTGTGTGTCGTGTGCTTCAAGCTGACCGAAACATCGTCTGAATAAAACACTCCGCAAGTCCCTCCGAGATGTTTCTTTCATTAAACACATTGCCAAAGTGTTTGTTAAAAACACGGAGGACACATTCAAATATTCACCACTGTTAATACACAACATTTACATGAAAAGTACACGCAACCTTGTCCATTACCGTGCACACGCCGTGGATTTGATCGGACGGTGTTAAAATAAATGTTCACTTGTAGCAATCTTCGGTCTCTAAATAAAGCTCAGTACCTCTACAATATGCATACGTTGGTTTTACTCGACTAAATTACTTAACAACCTCAATTTCACTCAAAATATGAGAGGAGAAAACACAAGCGCGAGCTGCTCACGCAGGAGCACAGACACGGAGCAGCGCTGGTTGAGTCTACACGGTTCTCATGCTGTGGTTAAATGCGCAGCGCCGCAGCAGCGGCTCATTCGTTCTTTGTTGTTTACAGTCCAGATCAGTTCAGAGAGATCATGGCAGAAACCGCTCCAGCAGCTACCGCGACCAAAGCGGCCAAGAAGAAAGCAGCAGCTAAACGCAAGAGAACGGGTCCGAGCGTCGGCGAGCGCATCGTGAAGGCGGTGTCCGCGTCTAAGGAGAGGAGCGGTGTGTCTCTCGCCGCGCTGAAGAAAGCGCTGGCTGCCGGAGGCTACGATGTGGAGAAGAACAACTCCCGCGTCAAGATCGCCGTCAAGAGTCTGGTGACTAAAGGCACCCTGGTCCAGACCAAAGGAGTCGGCGCCTCCGGCTCGTTCAAGCTCAACAAGAAACAAGCCGAGACCAAGACAAAACCCGCCAAGAAAGCCGCTCCTAAAGCCAAGAAGCCCGCGGCAAAGAAGCCCGCCGCCAAGAAACCTGCCGCCGCGAAGAAGAAGCCCAAGACCGCAGCCGCGAAGAAGAAGCCCGCCGCCAAGAAATCCCCGAAGAAGGCCAAGAAACCCGCGGCTAAAAAGGCAACGAAGAGCCCCAAGAAAGCAAAGAAACCAGCGACTCCGAAGAAAGCAGCCAAGAGCCCTAAAAAGGCCAAAGCAGCCAAACCCAAAACGGCGAAACCCAGAGCTGCCAAGCCCAAGAAGACCGCGGCCAGAAAGAAATAAACTCCTCTTTTCTGATGTTTTATCAAAACGGCTCTTTTAAGAGCCACCCACTGATTCAAA